AGAGCTACAGTCTCCAGCACCTTTAGTAAACTACAACTTGCAGGAGTGTTTGGGGGAAGTCCTGCAGTTTAAAACGTATGGTGTGTACATAGTCCATGTAGCTCCATGTGCATACTGAACTATAAGACCAGACCAGCAGCTGCCTTATGGAGGTTACACATCTACATTTCAGAGGCGAGGAAGAGGAGGGACCTCTCAAGAAATGGAGACGGGCAAGTAGAGTTACAACAGTTTGGTTTCATCACATTACATGTTTAGGACAGGCGAATTAAGTGCGTATCTTCAAAGGGTTCCAGCCAAAGAGGCCATGAAGTACGCATCACGCTTTTTGATAGAACAGCAGCAGACACACCTGCCTTTTGAGCCCGAATAAGGCACAAATTACAGGCCTCCCTGATCTTGGGCAAGTTTATTTAGACAAAGCAAATGTCAAGTTCGATGGGACTTACACTCAAGCAAGGCTGCAATCCCAGAAGCAAAGGCTCAGGCCCTGTCCTTAGCAGGCTTGTGCTTTACTCCTGAGTAAGAAGGCAATGCTAGATACATGCTAGAGGGCCCCATGTTTACATAGGAAGCTGCCTGAAACAGAGCCAGAACATTGGTCCATCCAGTTCAATACTGTCCAGTCTCCCAACCCTAGCTAGAGATGCTGCTGAGGATTGAATCTGGGACCTTCTACACACAAAGCAATTGCTCTGTCACTGAGTTATGGCCCTTCTTAGGAAGACAGTCAAACCCTTGGCCTACCTAGCTCAGTATCGTCTGACTTGCAGCAGCTTTCCTGGGTTTCAGACAGTGAGTTTATTTCCCAGCGCTGCCTAGAGATGCCTTTGGGGATTGAACCTGGGGCCTTCTGCATACCAAGCAGCTGCTCTACCACCGATCTATTGTAGAGTTGATTTACCCTCAAAGCTGCAATACAGTCTGCTGCATGGTAGGTTTCCTTACTGAAAAACCTTTTCACATTTATACCGCAAAGATAGTGGGTCAACTGTGGAGATGAGAAGCCCATTCAGGAGGTTTCTAGCTAGCTTTAAAACCAAGCCCTCTCCACTGCTGCATAAGTCATCGGATGGGCCAACCTCACTTCCAACCATCTGTCTCTTTGCAGGAACAGCGTACAATCCAGGCACTGTATAAAATGTCACACTTGCTATTATCAGGGGACTGCAGCTAGATAAATCAAGGTGTGGGGGGTTTTTTGTGTGGAGGGGAGAATACTGCCAGACTCAACCCTCTACCAGGGAACTTTACTCTCCCCTACCCACAAAACACGCAGCCATTAGTTAAATAAGCCCCCAGTACCAGAGATTCTAGGAGACAGAGGTAAAAAATTGTTTGCAGAGATTATGGATCAAAGCCCACCCACAAAGCCAGGAAACAGGCTGCAAAACCAATTTACTTATAGAAGAAAAACTACAAAAATTATATTAAAAGGAAGACGATCTGATCCATCTGCAGGAAACCGTGGCTGGATATATAGCTACGATTTTTCAAATGACAGTTTTTAAGTGCCTTGGCCAATGCAGTTATATGTAGGAGACAGGCTGGGAAAATCTGCTCATTAAAAACAGCAGCTGGGAATATCTATATCTGTATCTATATGGGGTGGTGTATTTTATATGCAAACACAGTTTTAAGCGCAAGGTCAGAAACTGAAGTAGCATCTGTTCTATTAAACCCCTTAACGCTGGAAGCGGAGTGGGGGGAGACATAAGCAAGTAAACATCTTTTCCTCAGTGCAACAGACGGAGGGAACCCCACCCCCCGCGCGCAATTAAGTTCCTGGTAACAATGCCCTGGGACTGCTTTTTATTTATCTTACCTGAACAGCCCTGGTGAAGAAAACGCCCGCGTCGGAGGCTAGCTTCTTCATGTTGAAATCCATGCCCAAGCACCCACAAAAAAATGGGACCGCGGAGAGAGGAGGCCGAGCTAGCGAGGCTGCCGGGGCATCCGTCTCAGCCGCTCCCTGCTTGGATGCTCAGCTCCTGCGCCCTCCTTTCCGCCCACCTGCCCAGCTCTAGGGAGGATGGAAATAAATAAATATCAAGCGGACGAGGCAGATCCTCGAGTGCACACAACGCCTTTTCTCCTCCTCCTCCCACCCCCCAGGAGGACCCATCAGCGCCCTCTGGCATCCTTTGGGCGGCCTCTTAAAGCGCAGGGCGCACGGTGGCCCGGCCAGGAATTTCCATATGGACAGCCTGGCTACTGGATCAGGCCAAGGGGGCCCAGCATCCTGTTCCCACGATGGCCAACTGGATTCCCCCAAGGGAAAACCCCCGAAGCAGGAAATCAGTGCAGTAGCTGCTGCTCCCAACAGAGTATGAGATAGACTTGCATTTGAGAATTTAACTCCTACTCTTATCTGCCGTGGATAAGAAGCATGCTGTGAAATAAGGCCAGTGGCCCAGATTGTCTGGCATCCTATTCTCACAGTGGCCAACCAGTAAGCGCACAAAGGGGACCTGAGCACAAGAGCCCCCTCCCCTCTTGTGGTTTCCAGCAAGCATTCAGAAGCATTACTGCCTCCAACCCAGTAGGCAGAGTATGGCCACTGCCAATCGCCTTATTCTCCTCCATTAATTTGTCTGATCCTCTTTTGAAGCTAATCTGGAACCATTGCTGCCTCCTGCAGGAGCAAGTTCCATAGTTTAACTATGTGCTGCATGAAGGACTTTCTTCCATGAGCACTTGTCTCCTCCATCGGGCCGATTGGTTAAGGCACCCCAGGCATTGAAGAAGAGGGGCATTGGGGATCCTAAGGATGCAGCCCCCACAATCTGTTGGCTGTATGCAATGCTGGCCCTACTTAGAGTAGGACTATTGAAATTAATGGACACACAACTACCTTATCTGGGCGGCTACCATGAAAACAGGAGGCTGGGCTAGATGAGCCAATGGCCTGTTCCAGCAGACACTTTTTATATTCATTATTTTCAATGGTTCTACTCTGAGAAGCACCAGCAGTGGAGACATCCCATAATCATAGAATTGTAGAGTTGGAAGAGACCTCAAGGGTCACCTAGTTCACCCCCTGCAATGCAGGGATCTCAAAGCATACAGAAAGGAGAGTCCACCACCTTCTGAGCGAGTCCGTTCCACTGTCAAACAGCTCTTACCATCTGAAAGTTCTTCCTAATATTTAATCAGAATCTCCTTTCTTGTAACTTGAAGCCATTGGTTCGAGTCATCTTGGTCCATCTTGGTCACCCTCCTCTGCACATTGTTTCAGCTTGTCAATATCCTTCTTAACTTGTGGCACCCAGAACTGGACACAGTATTCCAGGTGAGGATAGACCAAGGCAGAATAGAGTGGGACTATGACTTCCCTTTATTGGGACACTAGACTTCTATTGATGCAGTGTAGAACAACATTAGCTTTTTTGCATCTACATCGCACTGTTGATTCATGTTAAGCTTGTGGTCTACTAAGACCTCTACATGCTCAGTGTACACAGGGCCCTGAACCTAGGTATGTTGGGTTAGACAAAGAAGCAAACAGTTGAGTTCAACAAGGCTCTCAAGTAGAGCTGTGATCCTGGGGGTTGTATCCAATGTTAGTTCTACTCACAGTAGACTGTGAGTGGACTAACATTTAAAAGAATGACCATGACTAAATTAGGTCCACTGGATCAGAATAAGAGTAGGACTAACAATAAGAGTAGGACTTAGTTACATACAGCCCTTGGGTACAGTGTAGTGGCCCTCAACAAAACATGTCAGTCTGCTGCTCTTGAATAAGACCCATTGAAATTAATGGAGCTTAGTTAGTCAACAGATCCACTCTGTGTATGTCTACTGATGGCTACAACCCTTCACACACACACACACACACACACACACACACACACAAAGTATCCTAAACCATGTAGGCTTCTCATTTCAGAAATACTGTTTTTAGCTACGTGCAAACTTTAATCAATAAATTAATGAGCAACTCAGTTCTAGAAAGCCAGAAAAAGGCTCCTAGACCTGTTCATTGCGGCAGCTAAAATCCAATAATAATAATAATATCAGGATTAGAATATTATTGTGGATCGGGGAAAGGAGGATTCTATTATTATAATACTAACAATAAGTAGGTTTGCCATATTTTGAAAAGCAAAAAAGAGGATGCTATGACGACTCTCATTTTAAATACCCCTACTATATGTAAAGGGACGCGGGTGGCACTGTGGATTAAACCACAGAGCCTAGGACTTCCCAATCAGAAGGTTGGCGGTTTGAATCCCCACGACGGGGTGAGCTCCCGTTGCTCGGTCCCTGCTCCTGCCCACCTAGCAGTTCGAAAACACGTCAAAGTGCAAGTAGATAAATAGGTACCGCTCCAGTGGGAAGGTAAATGGCATTTCCGTGCGCTGCTCTGGTTCGCCAGAAGCGGCTTAGTCCTGCTGGCCACATGACCCGGAAGCTGTACGCCGGCTCCCTCGGCCAGTAAAGCGAGATGAGTGCCGCAACCCCAGAGTCGGTCACGACTGGATCTAATGGTGAGGGGTCCCTTTACCTTTACCTTACCATATGTAGGCTATAGAGAAGCTGGGATATATTGCTGTTGGGGGCAGGAGAAGAGAAGAGGAAAGCAAGTCTTCAGCCACCCGTTATGTCTATGTCTCATCCAGAAAGTACGTATAGCTAGAAACATTTTGGCAAATTTAAAAAATCCGCCCAGACAGAAATTTTACGTGTCCTGGAAAGAGAGGACACATGGCAACCCTAATTTTCTAGTCTCAGATTATTGATCTCAAGATACCGTACTTTACTGTACAGGAGACGTTGCCCCTTTAAGAGGAGTCCCGCCCCTTGAGCTGCACGTCAATCAGCCCTGAAGCGCACGCCCCGTTTCCCACGGGGCGGGGGCAGGGGAGGAAGAGGGAAACTCCATTGCCGCTCAACCGCACTCGATTTTGCTGCGGTAAGTTAAACCGGCGACGCGGTGGAGGGGCGAAGGGCGCCCATTGGCTCTCACACGGGGTTGAGGGGGCCGCTTTCATTGGCCGAGAAGGCTGCCAATTGGAGGTCTCCCCACGGCGCCCTGCCCCTTGCTGACAACAGGCGTGTTAGGCTGTGAGGCTGAGTCGTAGCCGGGAAGGAGACGCTGCCCTTTTGAAGCCATGGAACGCCGATGCACGGTGAGGGCTTCTCAATCCCCCCATCAGGAAGGTGGTATTGTCCGACCCGCTTAGGGCAGGTGCGCGGTGGTGTGTTCCATTATGCGGAAAGGGGTGAGGGGGGAGTGAGGGAAATCTGTTATTACCTTTCATTCCAAAGAGCCCTGCGCGAACGAAAGGAGCTCTTGGGCAAGTACTTTGCTGGGAAATGATAAGGTCTCAGTTTACGTTGCTGCTGCCGTTTCCTCGTATTTGCCATCACTTCATTTGTGGTAGGGTCCTCAGCCCATTTCTGCCATGGCATCCTTTGGCCAAGCCTTTTCCTACCTTCCCAGTTTCCATTTGTGCTTCCAGCTCCGTAAAATTTGGCAACCGTTACTTAGGCTTGCTGCCTTAATGGGTCTCCCTGGTTCAGGTGCAGTTTACCTCAACAAAAGAAAACACTAGTTCGTTGCTGGGGGTGGTGGAACTTGAGACATTGCTTGGGGTTGGACGCGTCTGTGACTTAGGATGGCTTTAAAACGGGGTCGGGGAGAGTGGATGAATTGATGGAGGACTGAGCTGCTGGCAAGCTAAGGACAATCTCCATGCCCAGGGGCAGCCAGCCTCCAAAATGCCAGCCCCAGAGAGTAGCAAACAGGAGTACAGTACTGTAGTCTCTTTCTTTGCATGCTGTTGCTTTGGGGTTTCCCCGGCATTTACACTTGGTGAAATGGGACTCTCGGCTTTTGTTCTGATTGAGAAAGTCTTTTAAAAGCAAAAGTAAAAGTAAACTGAATATAGTACAGTGGTACCTCGGGTTACATAAGCTTCAGGTTACATACGCTTCGGGTTACAGACTCCGCTAACCCAGAAATAGTACCTCAGGTTAAGAATTTTGCTTCAGGATGAGAACAGAAATCGTGCGGCGGCAGCGGGAGGCCCCATTAGCTAAAGTGGTGCTTCAGGTTAAGAACAGTTTCAGGTTAAGAACGGACCTCCGGAACGAATTAAGTATGTAACCATAGGTACCACTGTATGTCGCTTTGCTAGTGGTGTTTGGTGATGATTATGAAATAGGAACTTAGTGTCCAGGGGCTCTACTCATGGGGTGGGGGGCTAGGATGGGATGGCTGTTGGCTTCAAGAGGGCATTTCAGAGGGCTTATTCTGGCTGCAGGCTGCTGAAAGATGCTTTGCATGGAGAGGGTCCCAGGTTCAATTCCCAATGGCACCTCCAGGTAGGGCTGGGAATGTCCCTTCCTGAAACCCTGGAGAACCAGTCAGTGTAGACAATATTAAGCTAGATGGACCAGTGGCCTGTCTCAGAACATGGCAGCTCCCTATGCTCTACTTTGGTCCATAACTCAGTTGCAGAGCATCTGCTTTGCATGTAGAAGGGCCCTGGTTCCATCCCTGGCATCTCCAGATGGGGATGTCCCCTGCCTGAAACCCAGGAGAGCTGCTGCCTGTCAGTGTAGACAGTACTGAGCTAGATTGGCCAGTTGTCTGACTTAACATAAGGCAGCTTCCAATGTTCCTATACAATACAGCCCACTTACATCAGGACTGGAATATTACCGTACTCTGTGTTTCAGGGAACGGCCATAGCTCCGTGACAGAGAATCTGTTTTGTGTGCAGAAGGTCTCACGTCCTATCGCCAACATTTCCAGGTAGGGCCTAGGAGAGACTCCCTGCTTGAAACTCTGCAATGACATTGCCTGTCGGTGTAGATTGTATTGAGCTGGATGAACCAATGGTCTGACTTGAGACTATCCCATTTTAATTTCGCCATTTCTTCACAACCATGAGGCCTGGTATCTTACTTTATTTTTAGAGGAAGGGCCATAGTTCAGGGGCAGGGCACCTGCCTTAGACAATGAAGGACCCAGATTCAATCCCTGGCATCTCTAGGTCTGCCTCGGTATGTCCTGTTGCTGAAACCCTGGAGAGCCATTGCTGGCAGTCAGTGCAGGCAATACTAAGTTAGATGGCCCAATAGTCTGACTTGATATAAGGCAACTTCCTATGACGGCAATGATATAGTCACTTAAAAGTTCTATGCCAAGGATTACAACAGAGACGTGATTGAAAATGAAGGAGGGATGAATGCCAGGGATGAGTAGGTGTCCAGCAAATTGTAACAAATGTAGCTGGTGTTCTGCACTCCTGCAGACGAGAGTGATGGGTTGGGTTGGGACAACTGATAACCTAGGTGCCTGATGGTAACTAATTTGTACCAACTCTACTGGGTGGTGTGTGTGTGTGCCTGCTCCACTGAGCAAAGGTTGCTGTAAGGAGGGTGTTTTTTTCTGCACATCAATTTGGAAAAGATCTGACATGGGTGTATCAAAAATAAATGCATGCATACATTTAAAGTTTTCCACCCTCTTGTTGTAGTTGTCCAGTTGGCATCACTGTTCATAAGCACTGCTTGAGAAAGCCCTGTTGCTTTGCAAATAATCTGACAATTACTGTATTTTTCCATCTATAAGACTCCCCCATGTATAAGACGCCCCCTATTTTTGGGGACTTAGATTTAAGAAAATGGGGGGAGATGTATCTGTGTATAAGATGCCCCCTAATTTTTGACATTATTTTTTAGGAAAAAAATCTAGCCTTATACATGGAAAAATACAGTACATAGAGCACCTTCTATTCATTTATTTTGAAATCATTGCATGTAGAAGAGTAGCATGTGAAAGAGAAAACCAGATTAGAGTCCTTCCCCTTACAAGCTCATTTTCTATGTGTGGGGACTTCTTTAAACAAACAAAAAACCACGGAGGAACTAATCAGTCACGTGGACAGCTTAGTGTGCCCAGAGACATGCAGCTGAGAAGCAACCCTGACTTGTTACTCTTTGTATCTCTTGGAGTTCTGATTGTCCTTGATTGTCGTCTCCTACGATTTTCAGGCCAGGCCACAAAAAGTCCAGCTGTATCGCCTTAAGAAAAAAAAAAGTCAGTATAACAAGTTATTCTTCAACTCCCACTCTAGCTCAGTGGTTCCCAGAGTGAGCGGATTACCAGGTTTGGGGGGCGGGGAAGAACAACCAAGAGGCATGGGAGGGGTGCTGGAGGTTTAAATTACAATCAGACTTTGAAAAACTGGCATCACTGTATCAAGTTCCTTAATTCTATTGAATGATTTAAACTAGTGTTAGAGTTGGATTATAAATAAAGGTACAATTAATTTTTAGTGTTTTGAATTTTATTGTGTTGTTATGTTCCTTAGTGGGTCATGCAAACTGCTATTCTGAATCATGCTTTTTATTGGGTAAGGTACGGTATGGGGCACTGGGCTGAGTTGATGGAAGCATGGGGCAGTGGCCCCAAAAAGTCTGGGAACAGGCTGTCCTGTGTTACAATTATTATAGCACAAATGTATTGTAGGAAGATGCAGCTGTTGATGATCTGGCTACAGCAAAACAATTTTGTTTGAAAAGATGTCCCATGAACTGAAAGTATCTAAAGGGTAGAAATCGAGCGACCTTTTTTAAAAAAATACATATTGTGATATTGAGGCACATGGTCACTCAGTGCTACCAGGATATGCAAATTTCTGGCTCATTCAAGACTATATAGAACCTTTATCCTAAATAACAACGGAACTCACAAGTAGATAATGTTTTTATTTTTATAAATAGTTATTATTTGTGAAGGGAACCTTTGTATGAGTCAATACTTCATTTTCTGTTTGGAACTGCATGGTGCCCCTTGTACTTTGCTTTTCCTGGCTGTGACGCTGTAAGGTTTAGTTTTTTTTAATTCTTTTCTTTCTTTTGTTATGTTTGCACATTTATTTTTGTTAACAAATAAAAATGAAAACTTTTTTTTAAAAAATCCTCATGTTTGCTTTCTTTTGTTTTTCTTTCCCTTGACTTCAGTCACATTGCTACAGTAGTTTAGTTTGGTCTGATATGCCTCGTAGAGAAAAGCCTTAGTGGAACTTCATGTTCAGCTGCAGTCTACTTGTGTATATTAGTTATTTATTTGTTTCTTTCTTTCTTTGTTTGTTTGTTTGCTGCTTTTTTTCTCCATGGAGCTCAAGGTGGCTTACGTGGTTCCTTCCCCTCCTTGTGTAATCCCCAGAACAGCCCTGCAAGGGTAGATTAGGTTGAGAGGCAGTGACTGGCCCAAAGCCACCCAGTTAGCTTCATGGCCAAGTGCAGGATTTGAACCCTGGCCTCTCCCAGGTCCTAGTACAACACCCTAGCCACTACACCACAACTGTCAGAAGAAAAGGGATGTCTTTTGCCTCCCTTCTCTGCTCATGAGCTGGCCCAAGATGGTCTTCGCTGTTTATTACCCCATGACTGTGCCATTCTGGATGCGCTCTGTGAAAGGGCCCCTCCGTTAGTTCTGCCTGACTGTCTTCCATTTATTTTTAATTATTTAATTATTGTTTTGTATCTCTGCAACAGGGAGGCGATCTTCCAGATAAGACTGACTGTAGGAGTCTGCCAAAGGAGAGCTGGGTCTCTTGGTGAACTTCTTGGCCCAGGTTGTTCCTCACAGCGTCTTCCAGCACATGCCTAGAACCTCTGTCAAAAATGGCATTTCAGAGAACTGAGGGGATGTCCATTATTCAGGCTCTGGCGATGACTGTCGCAGAGATACCGGTATTCCTTTACACAACGTTTGGTCAGGTGAATATGCACATTTAATTCATCCCTACGTTTAGAACTTTGAAGACTGGAATCTTAATTGTATTTTTAGGAGAAGGCCCTAGCTCAGTGGTTAGAGCACCTCCTGTGCATGCAGAAGGACCCAGGATCAGCCCTCAGCAGCATCTCCAGGCAGGGCTGCAGAATGCCCCCTGCCATCCCATGGAAGATGGTGCATGCTTGTTTTCTGCTGCTCCAGAGGGCAGGATTCGAACTAATGGATTCAAATGACAAGAAAGGAGATTCCAGCTAAACCATAGTAGGTGGTGGACTCTCCTTCATTGTAGATTTCTAAACAGAGGTTGGATGGCCTTCTGTCAGGGATCCTTTAGCTGCGATTCCTGCACTGCAGGGGATTGAACTAGATGAGCCTCGGGGTCCCTTCCAACTTTACAATTCTGTGAAGTCCTGGGGGAGCAGCTGCCAGGCAGTGCAGGCAGTATTGAGCTAGGTGGTCTGAAATTGTGGAGAGCAGCTGCCAGACAGCACAGGCAACAGTAGGTGAGATAGATCAATGGTCTGGTTCAGAACTGGACAGCTTCTTATATGAGAAAGATTTAACTGTGCTGGATAAAAGTGCCTCTACAAAAATAAATAAATAAATAAATGAAGATAGTGCCTGCGGGATAGCTCAGTCAGTAGAGCATGAGAATCTCAATCCCAGGGTTGTGGGGTTGAGCCCCATGTTGGGCAAAAAGATTCCGGCATTGCTGGGGATTGGACTAGATGACCCTCGTGGTCCCTTCCAACTGACCCATTTTATGCTTCTATGATCACCCACCCTGTCACCCTGTGAAGCGCCCACCTTGTGGAACGCCCTCCCATCCGATGTCAAACAGACAAACAGATATATGACTTTAAGAAGACATCTGAAGGCAATCCTGTATAGGGAAGTTTTTAATGTTTGATGTTTTGTTGTGTTTTTATATTTTGCTGTTTTACTGTGTCAAATGTTTTTAATTTGTTGGAAGCAACCCAGAGTGGCTGGGGCAACCCAATCAGATGGGTGGCATATAAATAACAAAATTATTGTTATTGCTGTTATTACTATTACTACCACTACTACTACTACTATTATTATTTCCCTTCCCCTTTTAAAGTCTGCCTTTTCTCAGCTGAGGCTCACTCCAGGCCTGCGTAAGGTTCTGTTCGCCACAGCGCTTGGGACGGTTGCCTTGGCTCTTGCAGCACACCAGCTGAAGCGCCGTCGTCGTCGTAAGAAGCAGATTGCCCCGGAGAAGGCGGGGGTGAAGCCCACAGGTGTCCCTGTTCCCATCTTGCCAACGAGGCGGGTCCCCTCCGTCAAGAAAGGTGGCTATGATATCAGAGGGAAGCCAACAGAGAAGCTGGCTACCTGATACTTAGTGAGGGCGGGGGGTGGAGAGGGAGTACCAAGGGGTACAAGATGCCACCCCACTTAATTGTGTGGAACGGACCTCCTGGTGGGAAGGTGCCACGTCCTGCAGGACACGGTGATAGGTTGAGGGTTTAAAGGACAAGCTAGCCTGGTCCCAAGCTGCTTTAGGTGGAGAGGCGGAGATTGCAGGGCACCTGCAGGCCCCAAGTTATGTTAACGTTACTGCTTGCTTATATATATATATCACCTTTCAGCCAAAAAGGCAGCTCCCATTAATAATCATAAAAATACAATAATGTAAATGCAAACAGTATGGATACTTATTCAAAACGTTTCAACAAGACTAAATGCCAAACACATCCTCATTTCTGCCCCAAAGGCAAATGATGTCTCCTACAAAAATATTAAGGGAAGAGAAGGATGCTTAAGCAGCACCTTCACCTTTTAAGGGTCCCAGGCAGGGCTGGGACTAGGGCAAGGCAGGGGGGAAAGTTGGTGCCCTTTGATGGTTCCAGCAGACTCTCCCTGTAGCAATGCCTAGAAGGCAGCTGGTCCTTCTTATAAGGGTCCCAAACAAACCCCCAGCAATCTGCTACTCAGATATTTCCGACGGCTGCCTTTGAAAACAGATGTACTGCAGCTGAGGTTGTCCCCATTTCATCATAGCATTTAAGACCCCTCATCACAAAGCCTTTTTGTTGTTGTTGTTTGAACCGCATGTTCTGTTTTGCAGGTTACTCCAATAAGCGAGTGCAGAGCCCAAGCAGCAAAAGCAACGACACGCTCAGTGGGATCTCCTCCATCGAGCCCAGCAAGCACTCCAGCTCTTCTCACAGCCTTGCTTCAGTACGAGTTTCTCTTTGCCTTTTGTCTTCTATCCATGTCTCCTAGCCAGGGTGCTGGGCACAGCCTTGTGGCCCTCTCTGTCTCGCCCTCAGGACTCTCTCCCAGGTCATACTCCCCTGCCTGCCCTGCACTGCCCTCCCCCTGCAGTGCCTGTGTTGCTGAAAGGTATCATTGAACCAGGAGCATGCCTGTTGTTTGTCTGGAAGGAGACAGAGGGGTGCAGGTGGCAGGGTGTAGAAAGCACTGGTTTTGCATGGCCGGAATGTAGCAAAAATCACAGTTGCAGTGTTTGGGATTTTTGGAGATAATGAGTAAGAGGTTACATGAAATAATTTTTAAAAGTGTATGCACCTTAAAAAAAAAAAGCACGCTTAATGGGATGGGAACACTTGAGGCTGCTAACGGTTCTTTTTCTTCCTTCTCTTCTCACCTGGTAGATAGTGGTGGCCAACTCTTCCAGCCCGACTCCAGCGTCAGCAGGACCCTGGGAGACACAACCCGTAGAAGATCCAGGAGCTGCAGGAGACTGTAGTGCAGAAAACCTCTACTTCCAAGGTCAGGACCTGGCCTGTTGCTGCTATGTACTGTATGAAATGAAATGGTTGCCCCAAAGAAGCTGGAGCAATCTTGTTTTCTGTGGCTCCCATGAATTCAAATTGCAAGGAAGGATATTCCAAGTAAACGTTAGGCAGAACTTTCTGAGAGGAAGAGCAATTGGACAGTGGAACAGACTCCCACAAGAGGTGGTGATCTATCCTTCATTGGAGGCGTTTAGGCAGAGGTTGGATGGTCATCTGTCAGGGATATTTTAGCTGTCATTTCTGCCTTACAGAAGGTAGGACTAGACCAGTGTTTCCCAACCTTTTTTGGGCAAAGGCACACTTGTTTCATGAAAAAAATCTCAAGGCACACCACCATTAGAAAATGTTTAAAAAATTAACTCTGTGCCTATATTGACTACCCTATTTTTCGCCCTATAGGACGCACCGGCCCATAGGACGTACCTAGATTTTGGGGGGGAAATAAAGGGAAAAAAATTATTTTCCCCCCCAGACGCGGGGCTGGGGCGGGAGAAGCCCGAGCTTCCCCCGACCCCAGCCCCCAGAATGGGAGCCAGAGTGGCTCCCGGAGCTTGCGGGACTGGGGGTGGGGGAAGCCCGAGCTTCCCCCGCCTCCAGCCCCCAGAAAGGGTCCGAGAGCGATGGCAAAGGTGAGCGCACCTTCGCCATCACTCCCAGAGCTTGCGGGGCTGGAGGTGGGGGAAGCCAGAGCTTCCCCCACCCCCAGCCCCCAGAAAGGGTCCGAGAGCGATGGCGAAGGTGAGCGCACCTTTGCCATTGCTCCCGGAGCTTGCAGGAGCTGGGGGTGGTGGAAGCCAGAGCTTCCCCCGCCCCCAGCCCCCAGAAAGGGTCCGAGAGCGATGGCGAAGGTGAGCGCACCTTTGCCATTGCTCCCGGAGCTTGCAGGAGCTGGGGGCGGGGGAAGCTGGAGCTTCCCCCGCCCCCAGCCGCCAGAGCAGGTCAGAGAGCGATGGCGAAGGTGTGCGCACCTTCGCCATCGCTCTGGGACCTTGCGCGGGCTGGGGGCGGGGGAAGCCGGAGCTTCTCCCGTCCCCAGCCCGCAGAGCAGGTCGGAGAGCGATGGCGAAGGTGTGCGCACCTTCGCCATCGCTCTAGGACCTTGCGCGGGCTGGGGGCGGGGGAAGCCGGAGCTTCTCCCGTCCCCAGCCCGCAGAGCAGGTCGGAGAGCGATGGCGAAGGTGTGCGCACCTTCGCCATCGCTCTGGGACCTTGCGCGGGCTGGGGGCGGGGGAAGCCGGAGCTTCTCCCGTCCCCAGCCCGCAGAGCAGGTCGGAGAGCGATGGCGAAGGTGAGCGCACCTTCCGCATCGCTCTGGGACCTTGCGCGGGCTGGGGGCGGGGGAAGCCGGAGCTTCTCCCGTCCCCAGCCCCCAGAGCAGGTCGGAGAGCGATGGCGAAGGTGAGCGCACCTTCCGCATCGCTCTGGGACCTTGCGCGGGCTGGGGGCGGGGGAAGCCGGAGCTTCTCCCGTCCCCAGCCCGCAGAGCAGGTCGGAGAGCGATGGCGAAGGTGTGCGCACCTTCGCCATCGCTCTGGGACCTTGCGCGGGCTGGGGGCGGGGGAAGCCGGAGCTTCTCCCGTCCCCAGCCCGCAGAGCAGGTCGGAGAGCGATGGCGAAGGTGTGCGCACCTTCGCCATCGCTCTGGGACCTTGCGCGGGCTGGGGGCGGGGGAAGCCGGAGCTTCTCCCGTCCCCAGCCCGCAGAGCAGGTCAGAGAGCGATGGCGATGGTGTGCGCACGTTCGCCATCGCTCTCGGGGCTTGGGAGGCTGCGGGCGCGGGAAGCTGGAGCTTCCCCCGACCCCAGCCCCCCGAACGGGTTGGAGAGCGATGGCAAAGGTGCGCGCAGCTTTGGCATCGCTCTGGAGCTTGCGCGGCTGGGGGGATAGCTTCCTTAAGCCTGGAGAGCAAGAGGGGTCGGTGCGCACCGACCCCTCTCGCTCTCCAGGCTTCAGCGAAAGCCTGCATTCGCGGCGATGGGATGTGGGAGGGAGCTCGCTCGCCGCCCCGCGTGTGCTCGCCGCCGGCGCCCCGCCTCTCGCCGCCCGACTCGCCCGCCTCCCTCCCACGGCACACTAGGCAACGTCTCACGGCACACTAGTGTGCCGCGGAACACCGGTTGGGAAACACTGGACTAGACAACCCTTAGAGGTCTCTTCCAACTCTACAATTTTATGATTCTTTGAAAGCAATTGCTAACTTAAAAAAATGTGGCAGCGTTTCTTTTGTGTTGCCAATGGAGAGTTTTCCAATGCTGGCCAGAAAAGAGGGAGAAAAAAGATGAACCCTTTTGACTGCTATATTTCCCCCATCTACTGTAAGAAAACCAGTTGATTTTTTAAAAAATGTGATTCTTTGACTTCTTTTCTGCCTACCTTGCCTTGACAGGGATGGAGCTGTTTGAAGAGGCCCTGCAGAAGTGGGAACAGGCTCTGACTGCCAGGCAGAGGGACCACACCAGCCCCTCTATCACCTGGGACAACCGTAAAGAACAGGAGTTACTGCCAGAGGATCTCCTGGAGGTATGGCCCCATTAGCTCAGATGTGGGGAAACCTTTGAGCCTCCAGTTGATGCTGAACTACAGCTCCTGGGGCCATTGACCATGCTTCCTGGGGCTGATGACAGCTGCAGTTCAGCAGCATTCAGCCAGGAAGGGGGGAGTAAAGGGTTCCCCACACCTGAGTTAGCTCAGTGACAGGAGTGAGGAATCTTTGGCCAGAGCACTGAGTTCTAAAGATAAAGGAGCACCGGCTGCACCCTCTGTTTTACAGCCCACACCCCTTGCTACACCTCTCCACAGAGTTCATTTATTGATTGCATCCATATACCACCTTTTTCTCCAAGGCATTCAATGTGGCACACATGGTTCTTCTCCTCATTTAATCCCCACAACTCTGTGAGGTAGGTTGTAGGCTGAGAGTCAGTGAGTGGCCCCAAGGTTACCCATAGAGCTTCATGGCCAGCTGGTGATTTGAACCCTGGTCTCCTAGGTCCTAGTCCAATGCTTACCACTACATTGCACTGGCACTCATGGTGGTTGCCATGGCAAGGCTGCCTGAATGAAGCTCATGGATCACTGATGGTCTGCAGACCTCACCTTGGGTACCTCCGGCCCCCCTTGCTGCCTGTTGGGGATTTCATTGGATGTTCTTTTTTAAAAAATCAAGCTTGCTGTAAATCATGCCTACTAGCTTCGGGGGCAGGGTGTTGATGGGTGTGAGCCCTACAAGGTTTAATAAATGCTATATATCTTTTTTTCTATTAAGCAGGAATCCCAGAAAATAGAGTTTGCAGAGAAGCTGGAATCCCTCTTGCACCGGGCGTATAACCTCCAGGAAGAATTTGGTTCCACCCTCCCTGCTGACAGCATGCTGCTAGACCTGGGTGAGTAGGGCTAGGATCCAGCTGTGGGCCAAGTTCTAGGTATTACTATTAGTATATACAGTCCTTAACAAACTTGGGACCAGTTTGCCTATCAGATTCCCAACTCCACTTGTGCTTACTTGACTGCTTTGATAGGCAAAACTGGCACTGCTACAGGTCCTGCATAATGCCTGTTTCACAATTGTAAGACCTCAATTTTTTAGTGTGACAGCACCTACACTTGGGAACTCTCTTCCTTTTGATACCAAGCAGCCATAGAATCATAGACCTTGGTGTGGTCTGACCAAGGCTGAATAGAGTGGGACTATTACGTCCCTTAATCTGGACACAATACTTCTGCTGATGCAGCCCAGAATAGCATTAGCTTTTTCTGTTGCTGAATCACCCTGTTGACTCATGTTAAACTTTTGGTATACTAAGACCCTTAAATTCTTTTTACATGTGCTACTGGCAAGCCAGGTGTCCCCCATCTTATGCAAATGGGATGAGCATCCCCTCAATTCCTTAATCCAAGTCGTTAATTAAGATGTTGAATGACAACAGGCCCAGGCCAGGACAGAACCCTGTGGCATCCCCCTTGTTACTTTTCTCCAGGATGATGAAGAACCATAAGTGAGCACTCTTTGGGTTCGGTTAGTCAACTAGCTACAAATCCACCTAGCAGTAACCTCCTCCAGTCACCTTCAGTGTACTCTTTTTGGAATGTACTAAAAACCTTTTTGTTTAGACAAACCTACCAAGATGTTTAGACAGTTGATGGATGATTAATCTGTTTTTAGGCTTTGGTTATTTCAACTTTTTGAAAGTCTAAAATCATGGTTATTTATTTTTCTTAGTGATCATTATATTGTTGTGTGTGTGTGTGTGTGTGTGTGTGTGTAATTTGTAACCTTCTTTGAGTTCTTGGGGATTTTCTTTGAAAAATCAGGCAGTGCATAAATTGAATGAAACAGGTAAATAGACAAAAAAACAGAGGCAGGACAGACTCCCCCTTGACTTAGCAGGATTGGGGGTGAGGTGGTGACCTCAGAAATGTGCGTGTTGAGCATCATACTAGTTTGCTTATTATTTTGATGTCTGAGTCTTGCCACTCCCCATCTTCCCCAGAGAGAACACTCATGTTCCCACTGACAGAGGAGTCTCTAAGACTCCGGGCTGACGATGATGATGAAAACAGCTTGACCTCTGAGGATTCCTTCTTCTCTGCTGCTGAGGTGATTTGTACTGTGTGCTGTGGTTTTCCAAACTTGCTGCCTTCGTGGTGATGGGAAATCCCTTCCATGTTTGCTTGTCCATTTCAGTAAATTTGCTTTGAGCATGTTGCAGAGGATTGAGCTGTCTTCAAGGCAGTATTGCCCACAACCCATTCCTTTTTGGGGAAAAGTCCTATAAATAACTAACCAGATTACAAAGCAAACTATTCCTATGGACCCAGAGGTGGTACAGTCATACCTTGGTTGCCGAATGCCTTGGAACTCATATGCTTTGGCTCCTGAACGATCGAAAACTGGAAGTGAGTGTTGCGGTTTTCGAACGATTTTCGGAAGCCAAACATCCGGCATGGCTTCCACGGCTTCCGATTGGCTTCATTCTGTTCGAGAACCAAGCTATGACTGTACTATCAGTTTCCAGAATTTCAAAGCTTAATGAATAAATATTTTAATCATCTGCTAACAGCTGCAAAGCTAGTAATCACTGTACACTGGAGATCTCTCAGATCTTTTTTGGAGCTTGGATCTCACAGGTCTGGGGCTTGACGGTCATGGACAAATTAACTGCCTTAAAGCCTGAACATCGTACAGGAAAGAGGAGTATCACCTTCCATTCAACATTGTTTGGTTTTATGCAGCATAAACAATCTTTTGAACATGGCTTTTGCCCACCAAGAACAACACATGGAATACTCTGGAATGACACTTGCAATTAATTATATTACTGATGCTTATGAAAACAGAAGCTGTGTCCTACTTAGAGACAAATCTGCACTCTGGGAGGGAGTTTTATTTGTTGATGTTACTATGCAATTCTGTTTAAGTTTGGAATCAATAAAATATGTTTTTTTCAAAAAAACAGAAAAAAGAAGGGCAGTCCTGGGTACAGTGTCATTGCAGTACTCAATTCTGGAACCCAGAGAAGCATGGATCAGCTTGGCACAATCCAACCCAACATTGCCTTAGGGCAGCTTGGTATTTAGGAATTGCGGCCTTCGGGTGACATCAGTTTTATTCTGTTACATTTTTGCAGCTCTTTGATTCTTTTCAAATCGGAGATGCTCCTTTCCAGCTCTCCAAGCCGGTCGCGGCATATGAAGAAGCTTTGCAGTTGGTGAAGGATGGACAGGTGTCATGCAGGACTTTCCGGTGAGCAAGCGAGCTGATCTGTACCAGAAAGCTCCATATAGTCTGTGTATTGTGTGCTACTACTCCTGGGAGGTGGTGGGATTACTTAGAGCAGGTGTTGGCAACGTGCGGCCCATTGGCTGGATGCGGCCAACAAAGACCATTTTACTGGCCCATCAGCCACCCCTGAACCGAGCCACCTGCTCAGTGAGTCCCCCACACGCTGCGCTAAACTGGTGCAACGCGGTGTGGGGACTCGCCGAGTGGCGCCGGAAATCGCGTCTGCACATGTCCAGATGCCAAAAATTGCTTCTGCGCAGGTGCGGTTTTTGGCGTCTGGCCGTGCACAGAAGCAATTTCCAGCGCTGCGGATATGCGCAGATGTGATTTCAGGCGTTGCGCTGCACCAGTCCATCCCATGGACGATCTCTATGGGAGTGATCCGCCCATGGCTGGTAAACCTTGTCGACCCCTGACCTAGAGGGATGCTAATAAGCAAGGTGGCTTTGGCACTGGAGGAGTTAACAGGTGTAAAACATTCCTGTTTGGAGAAGCCTACCCAGATGCTTAGAAAGTTGAAGTAATTTTGATCTGTTTTAGTATTTTAATCTGTTTTTGTATTTAGTATGGTATACGATATCTTTATTGTCATTGTCCCATACAGAACAATGAAATTGGAAATCTACATAAAACATTCAAAAACCCTTAAAAACTCTGAAAACCCATTTTAAAATACAATATAGATACTCCTTATGCTGCGTTTAGAACCAGAATTGCATTTGCATAGAAACTGTTTCTCAGGCAGCTAGTCCTGGTCTTTATAACCCTATACCTTCTTCCAGAAGACAGAAGCTGAAATAGATCATTTCCAGGGTGCGTACTATCCTGCGCTATCTCTGCAGCTTTCTTATGGCACCTGACAGCATAGATTTGATCTAAGGTGGGAAGAGTGCACCCAGTTATTCTCTCTGCAGTCTTTACAACCCTGGACAGCATTGTTTTTGGTGTGAATGTGGCCAGCAATACATTGTCCTGTCTCACTTTTGGAGATGCCAGTCATTATGTGTCCTGCCTTGCCCCTTGCGGCAGCCATTTTGTCACTGAAACCCACAGGCACTCTCTCACTGACCCTTTCCTCAAGGGATATGTGCCTAAGGAGCGTCCTGAATGTTTACAGGTACCTCCATTTTCACCCCTCTCTTCTCTTCTAGGACAGAGCTTTTGGGCTGCTATAATAACCACGACTTCCTGGCAAAGCTCCACTGTGTCAGACAAGCCTTTCAGGTAGAGAAATGCCAAGTCTCATCCAGACCCCTATTCCACCTCTGTGCAAATGTGCTACTGTGGTTCTGTTTTGAGAGGTCAGTGGCTGGCTGGGCCCATGATTGGCATGCAAGAGGTCCCATGTTCAACTTCTGGTCTTCTCCAGTTAGACAAATAAGTTGCCAGATAAGAGGAACAGAAGAAGTTGCTTTATACTATGTGTGAGGCCATAGTTCAGTACTGTCTAAATTGACTGGCAGAGGCTCTCCAGGGTTTCAGACAGGGCTTCTTCCCCAGCTCTACCTGGAGACGCAATTGGGGATTGAACCTGGGACCTTCTGCATGTAAAATAGATGCTCTACCGCTGAGCATTTTACCTAAAAAAAATAAGGTTCTAGTCCTCATGGTTCTAAATAATGAACTAATTTAAATAGGAAGCTGCCTTCTACTGAATCAGGCCTATTGGTTTATCTAGCCCACTTCTGCCCACACTGACTGGCAGCAGCTCTCCAGAGTTTCAAGAGGGAGACATTCCCAGCCGTACTTGGAGATGCCACTGGGAGGGTTGAACCTGGGACCTTCTCTATGCACAACAGATGTTCTAACCCGTGAGCTACAGCCTCTTCTTTTCCTGAGAGCTGCTCCCAATCAGAGAGAAAATAACAGACAATCATCATCTCCTGGCCAAGGGCTACTTAGAATCTTTTACATCCATCACACTGCTGTTTTCCTCCTTCTTTCCATGGAAAGGATTGTTATCTCTGAATGGGACTCTCTTTTGCAGGAACTTCTTCGGGATGACAGAAACCAGTCCTTTTTTGGGGAGGTGGGGAAGCGGATGGTGATGGGGTTGATGATCAAGGCTGAAAAGGTAAGGGAGCCAGTTGAGGGAGAGAGGTGGCTTCAGCCATCACCATGGTTGCAGGGGACAGTTCTTACTCCTCATCTATTCCAGTGTTTCCCAAAGTGGGTGGTGGTGCCCTCTGGAGGGGGATTCCCCGGGAGTCTCTAAGACGCAAGGGACCGGCAGGGATGCCGGAGGTGTAAAGGACTATCACATTTTGAAATGCTGGCATCACTGGGTCAAGTTCTTCAGTTTTGTTGAATTAAATAAGTTAAATAGTATTAATGGGGTTCTGAACAACTGTGAAGTTAACTGCTACTGTCATGAAATTGTTAGTTATTATCTTCTTTAGCGGGTCATTCAAACCGCCATTCTGAACAATGCTTTCTGTAGAGTAGCAGGGTGAGTCTATGGAACCCCAAGGGATCAGTGGCCCAGAAAAGTTTGGGAACCACCGATCTATTCTCTCTATAGCAAAGTCAGGGGCAACTTCTGTGGTCATCCAGATGTTGCTAGACTACAACTTTGGTAGTTTCTGCACCATCAGCTGGAGGCTGATTAGAGCTATGAGCCCAGCCTTGTCTGTCTACCCAGTTCTCCCACCCCACCTCTAGCAGGGTGACCCAATTTGAAGAAGACTCATCTGAAACCACAACCACTTCACTCCACTTTTTCTTTATTTCTCTATGTGTATATTCCACAGCTACAATTCATAGAGTTCCCCTGTGAAGAGGGATGGATTATTAAGCCATCCTGGGAAGGGTAGCTCTGGGAGAGGAGTGGGGGCGGTTTCCAACTCTCAGCAACCTGAACAAATGGCAGCTCCCATAATTCTTTGTAGGGGGAGGAGCCATGACTGTTTAAAGTGGCAATATATTGCTTTGAATGTGTTGTGAAGGTGGGGCTTACTTTCTGTTTAGAGCTGACCTGATGAAATGAACACATATAAGTTTAATCGTGCCCATTTTCAGTGGGTCTGCTCTTAGTTAGACTCATGTTGTTCAGTCTGCTGTGGTGCTGAGTTGTAGCATAGATTTAGCAACTGAGCTGTCTCTCTCTGTTCCTCCCCACATCCCAGAACACCAAGGGCTTCCTAGAAAGCTATGAGGAGATGCTTCAATATACGCTGAGGCAGGAGACCTGGCCCACAACTCAGAAGGAGTTGGAAGGACGAGGGGTTTGTGTCGTTTTCTCCTTTTTGAAATAAAATAAAAAGTAGTCAGTGAAAGCTGTTGTTATTATTGATTCATACAATTTACATGCCACTTTATTGTAAAAAAGAACAAACTCTAACAACCCTCAAAGCAGTTTGTAAAGAATAAAACAATGGAATTATCAGCAAAAAAAGTTTTTTAAAAGATTCAAGCATTAATTAAAATAAGTAAATGGTTCTAATTTTTTTTTAACATTGTGTTTTAATGCTGTAACCCATGCTGGGACGTTGTGGTGAAGGGCAAGCAATAAATAAACTGTTGTTGCTGAGGCCTGTCAGTTTACCTGTATTTCTCCTTCCCAGGTGGTCTGCATGAGCTTCTTCGATATTGTGTTGGATTTCATCCTTATGGATGCCTTTGAGGACCTGGAGAACCCGCCTTCCTCGGTGCTGGCTGTCCTGCGGAACCGCTGGCTCTCGGACAGCTTCAAGGAGACGGTGCGTCTGCTGGACATACCCCCCACTGGGAAGGAGAAATATTTGTTTTTATTTATTTGCACTTACACCTCTAAGGAGCTGAAGATGGCATACATGGTTCTCCTAATTCTCAGGAGGTAGGCTAGGCTGAGAGAGGCAGTGACTGGCCCAGGGTCACACCCAGTGGGCTTTATGGCCGAGGGGGGATTTGAACTAACCCCGGTCTCCCATGTCCTAGTCCAGCACTCTCACTACACCACCTCACTGGCTCTGATTTATGCCACAGTGCAAATCTTACCCTTAGGGCATTGTTCAGCCAGGTTCCAGCTTGTTCTGTGATCCCTGACCCCCAGGGCCGGATTAAGACCTACGGGCCCCATTTGTAATTTGAAATAAAAACAGCACTAAACTGTAAATTTAAATAAACAAACACAGATTTATTGCCATGACAGGATCTGATTTCCTTGCATTATTTTGAACTACACTAGTAGGATGTCCCCCTGGTTTAGGTGGAGATAAGAAAAAAATGGGGTAAGAGTTGTAAGGAGGTCTAGTAAAGTTCTGATTTTTCTCATGATTGTTTTGAAATATCAAATGTAAAATTATTTATAAATAAATACATTCTATTTTCTTTTGCTTTGCCAGTGCCCAAAGCACATTTTGGTTGTCCAGCAGTTCCCAGCCCCCACTTAAGATATAGGTCCATTTTCAATCCCTAGACTTGGTCTGGAAAAGTGAATTTCCTCCAGCAAGCCATGAATTGGCCATTAATGCACAAGACGCACACAAATGGGGGGACCTGCTTGACAGGTTTAGGGTAGAGGTGGGTTCTAAGTCTGAGAAGAAGGCTGTGAATTTTAAGGGCTGTTGTTCCAGGAGGTGTCTGGATGATGATTGAGTCAGGCGGAGGGGAGACTAGCCTTGGTGCTCACTGAAGAACAGTTTTCTCCCTTCTCTTGCAAGACTAGAATTCATGAACATCCATTGAAGCTGAATGTTGGAAGATTCAGGACAGATAAAATAAGGTCCATCTTCATGGAGAGCATAGTTAAACTGTGGAATTCGCTCTCACTGGAAGCAGTGATGGCCATCAACCCTAATGGCTTTAAAAAAGGATAGGACAAATTCATGGAGGCTGGCTATGCATTGCCTCCATAGTTTGAGGCAGCAATGCTTCTGAATACCAGTTGCTAGAAACTGCAAGAGGAGAGAAGACTCTTGTGTTCAAATCCTTCTTGTTGGTTTCCCATTACTAGAAGCTGGTTGGCCACTGTAAGAAGAGGCTGGACTAGATAGGGCATTGGCCTGATCCAGCAAGACTCTTCTGATGTTCTCAGAATTTTTAATTTTTTTACTGGTTTCGTTCTGAGTTTTTTGGAGTGCAACCCCCCCCCCTAAAGTGCTTACAAATTTCTTAGACCCTGATCTTTTCAACCTGAACTTAGAAATCAGCTTCAGATAAACTGAAATAGCAACAGATTCCTTGGAGAAAGGTGCAATGGAAAAGATCTGTTGCTTCGTAAATTGTAATGTGGGGACTTCAGACTGTAGTGGTGCAACAGCTGTAGGTTGTCGGCCTTTGAAATAAAAGTTGGCAGCGTGGTGACAGTCTTGCTTTTTCCTTTATGTATTTAATTTCAGGCTCTTGCCACTGCCTGCTGGTCGGTTCTGAAAGCTAAGAGGCGGCTTCTATTGGTAAGTTTAATGGTATAGTTGACTTACATACAATGGTTGGTTAGCAAGTTGATTTTTGTGGGGAGGAGGCTAATGGTCTAATTGATTCTCATTTGTAAAAATTTGCTTCCTGATGTCTAGAGGATATTTTGTTTAGTTGTTTACTATGTTCATTATGAATTTTACTGTCTTTTTGTAGCTGATATTTTATGTGTGATGTTTATCTTGATACTAAAGAGGATGCTTTTAAGTCACAATGTGGCTGTATCAGTTTGTTTTGCAGTCCTTATGAGTGGTGTAGTCACATTGCAATGTACAAATAGTTGCTATCACATCATCATTTTTATTTCTTAAATTTATATCCCGTCCTTCATCACAGGGCAGTTTACAGTATAAAAACACAAAACACACAATGCTAGTCCTACTAGGAGTGGACCCAATATCATTTTTTTGTTTTATTATTTATTTATTTATTGCCAGCCCCCCTACACCTTAAGGTCCCGGGGCAGTTTACAACATTAAAACATAGTATTAAAAACAGTTTGAAACAACTTGTAGTCATGAAAATGAGGGTTAATGGCCATGACCAAGTTAGACCCATCCATTACAGTTGGTCTACTCTCGGTATGCCTTAGTTGGCTACAGCAACCCAAAGTATTTTAATAAAATTGGGTTGCATCCAATGTCAGTCCTGCTCAGAATCGACCTGTTGAAACAGATGGACAAACTCGGGTACATTTATTCTAATGGGCCTGCTCTGAGTAAAAGTTAAAAATATATCCCATTACATTTTGTGTGTGTGTGTGTGTGTGTGTGTGAACCACTGTTCAGTTTGTTTTTCTTTCTCCCACATCAGGTCCCAGATGGCTTCATATCCCATTTCTACTCCGTATCGGAGCATGTCAGCCCTGTTCTTGCCTTTGGTTTCTTGGGGCCAAAGGAGCAGCTCTCCGAGGTTTGCTGCTTCTTCAAGGTAAATAAAGCTAAAAATCATAGAACTGGAGAGTTGGAAGGCTCCCAAAGTCCAACCTCCTGCAATACAGGAAATACAGCTAATTTTAATTAATTTTTGTTAAATCTTGGAGACTGCTTTACCTAAACTTTTCAATTATAAAGATAAAGAAATAATACCAGTTGCACTGTAACTTAAAAAAAGAAAAAAAGAAAATCCACTTCTGGTCGTACGTTATTTATCTATTTCATAAAATTTATATACTTCTTGACTGTAGAAAAAACTTCAAAGTGGTTAATACTTACTGATTGTTTCTTGCAACACTGCAAACCCACCCCCAAATGCTGTTATGTATTTTTTCTTTAATATCTGCGGTACCATTTGTTACCTGAACATTGAAAAGGAGTCTGAGGACTGCATGAAGTTTCGAGTTCACAAGTTTCCTACCTGCAGCCTAAGACAATGTTCAGTTTTTATTACAAGCTAACTATCTTGCTGGTTCTTTCTCATCCCTTTCCCCAGCACCAGGAGGTGTTGGGGGCCACATGAAATGAGGCCAAGGGCCACATGTGTTTCTCAAGCCACAAATTGCCCAGTCCTTCATTTTTTATTGCTAACTATGCTGCTGATTATCTTTCTCCCACTCTCTCTCCTCCCCAGCACCAGATCCTGCAATATTTGAAAGACATGTTTGACCTAGACATTGTGAGATACTCCACAGTCCCGTTGCTAGCAGAAGATATCCTCCAACTCTCTCGGCGCCGCAGTGAGATCCTGCTGGGTTACTTGGGGGTTGAGACCATCCCAGAGGTGAACGGGACTCTGCCCAGTGACATTGAACCCTTTGAGGAATTCAACTGAAGCTCGTCCAGGCAACAAGCATCTTCTCGTCTAACAGATTCTCCTGCCCCCACCATCCAGCTGTCCATCCCAACCAAGTGGCTTAATAATTGGCAGCAAAGACACTATTCCGTCCCAACAGTGAGTCAGGGTATTAGCCACTGCCCCAGATGTTCCTTGTTGGATCCAGAGGTTTGGCAAGGGGCATTCAAGGGCACTCAGTGAACCTGTTTCTGGCTCATCTGTAGTTCCTGTTTCTTAAAAATCTTTTTCAGCTCTAGCATAAAATGTGAAACACATACCAGGGCCTGAGCCACCCCCCTCCAACCCCCCCCCAAACCTGCAAGGTGTGTGTGGGGGGGTGTAGTGCACAAGAACACTTTTCCTTCCTTTTTAAAATGTGTGAATGGATTCCTAATGAAATTGGGGAAGAGAAGATAATTGATTTGTTTTGCTGTGTCTATATGTTTGTAAAGGCTTCTGACTTTGTAAAAACCTTAACAGTTCTGGTGTGAATTAGGAGGACAGCAGATTGCTGTCTCTCTGTGCTGTGCTGTCATTGCAGCTGCATTTCACTACATCATGGATTTTAAAATGCCACCATAGTATTTCCTGTGTGCCCCCTTCCATTTCCTCTATCTCTCTGAGTGGGCAGTATCCTTTTGTTTGTTTATTTTTTCACTGAGCACAATGACAGTGCAGTGGGGGGGGGAGTTATGTGTTGTAGCTGTGGGGAGCAAGTAGCTTTGGGCATTTTAAGCTGTGGGGAGGTGGTGTATCGATTTTGTTTGTTACCATGTTTGTTACCTGTGATCCTCAGATGAAGGGTGTTACAGAAATTGGATAAATAATAATGATACGGGAAGCTGTTTGGAGCAGTAAGTTGTATAAAAGAAGATACAGTTCAGTTCAGAGAGCTTGGGTGCCTGGGAGGGAGAGGCTGATGGCAAATACTTTAATCCATTCACACCACCACGTGTGGAAAGCACCACATTTGCACTGAGGGATTATCCTTTGACTAAGGTTATGGGACAGACTATATACAATGCATTGAAAAATCAGATTTGGGGCTTTTGGGGGAGAGATGGCTTCCCCCTAGTGAAGGTTGGCAGTATTCTTTATGGAAGAATTAGTGATCGAGGGTCAATTCATTCTGTTATTTAAAACTGAGAATTTGTCTCTTCTTCTCCACCTCCTCCCTTGAGCACACAAGGAGCACTTTAATGTTAGGAGAAACCAAAGCTGTGTGTTACTTATGGACCCAGGGAACTATGGTTTGTTCTACCCAAAAAGTTGGTTTAAAGAATAGAAGTGTGCTCTGTTATCTTGGTTTGTTAAGTATTGTGCCGCATTCATACTGTACAATTAAAGTACAGTGATGCCACCCTTCAATTCTACAATCCTATTCTGTGTCCGACCCCTTACAATGCAGGAATATGCAGCTATCATAGTGCTTTAAATATGTGCTGTGAATGTAGCATGCAGATGCCTTCCAGCTGTTCCTGGACATGGTGTCCTTGTACATAATCTCTGGCCCCCGATCACGTTAGCTGTGCCTGATGGGAGTCCTGCCAAGTCGGAATTGCATCCTGTTGGCTAAACCCCTAATTTGAGAACTTAGAATACTAGAAGGCTTGCAGATGCCTGGAAGGAAATAATGGTGCTTGAATGCCTGAAAAGGACGGCTAAGAGGATGAGGGATATTGTAAGAGCTGATTAAGATATTTCTCTTGTATATTTTCACTGTTTTGTCGTCTTGTGTAGCTAACCCATCATGCAGCCACATTCTCTAGCAGTGATGAAGAGACTGAGGCACCGTCCAGAAGTTGTTGGACTCTAATTCCCCTTAGCCAGCATGGCCACGGGTGACGGGAGTTGTAGTCCAGTATCAACTGGAGGGGGGGCCAGGTCCCGCAGCCCTGCAGTGTAGGAGTTTCTGTGTGGGAAACGGAAGTGGGAAATGGAAGGGGAAAACACTACAGAGCAAGTGTGGGGAACCTTTGGCACTGCATTGTGTTGCTAAACTTCAACTCCCACTATCCCTGGCTATTGACCGTACATACTGATACTAATGGGACTTCAGCAAATATCTGGGGGGGGGGGGCAAGGGTTCCCCACACTTGATATCAATGCTGGTGGCAAGTGCATGCAGGAGGATGTATTGCTAGTTGTCAAGGACCAAGGGCCCGATCCACTGGAGATGCAGTCATGCAACAAACATATACTTGTGTTCATATTCACAGATAGTGTCAATAACCAGCAGCACTGTTGCAGTGCTTTTCACTTAGGCCTCTTAAGATGCTAAAACATGTCCACACAAAAAATGGGTTTTGGTTCTCAGTCCAATCCTAGGAGAAAATGAATGTGACTTGGCGTATTTTTCGCAGATTTCAGAGGTCTTTTTACAACCTGTTCCATTAGGTTAAAATGTGTGGGTTGTTTTTAAGGAAAGGAGATACACACAGAGTTTTTTCTATTTGCACGTTAGAATTACTTGTGTAGGTATTTGGTTTCCTTGCTAGAACTTGACTAGAGTTGCCAACTGACCAGAGAAGGAACCTTGCCAAGACTGTTCCTTCGCCTTTTTAACAGCCGCTTGTGCAGAAATCAGCAGGTACAAAGCTTACACATGATCATTTCCTTATGGCAGAACTCATGCATCTTGGCAAACCGCAGTTTGCCATCATAAGCTGATTGAGCCTGCTTCACCCCTCCCCACTAACGGGCAGAGCAGACCAGTCATGACCAGCAGCTTAGTGTTATGATCAAACCATAGATTGTAGACAAGGTTTGTTATTGGCTACAGGCTGTGGTTTGTTTCGGAGTGAAACAAACCATGATCTCCACTTCAGATGTAACACTACGTGAGTGATTGTGGTTGTTACTCTTAAGCATGAGAGTGGAGGGGCACAGCAGCCGCTATTAGTTCATGAATTGTTTGGTTAACCATTGTTTTATAGCGTATGGTATGTGTGTGAATACAAGCGGTGAGTCTCAGATCAAGAACGGTTTCCTTTATCTCTTTTTAAAGGACATTCCTGTTAAACCTGAAGCTAATGAATGTAACATTTGTGCCTAATCTGTTTCTTTTTTTAAAATTTCATTTTCCTTAATTGTAAAATATTTGTTGGGAGTTTGTTTTGTTTTGTTGTGCTGCATATCTCACGTCTTTTGCAATTTAATTTAAATCTCTTTTTTTCGTATCCCATTAAGGTTTCGGCATTCAAAGTCAAATAAATCTTTCCTTCATTATCAAACTCTTCACTGAGTCTTCTTTTGCTCATACACAAGTAGAACCTGTTCTTCAGATCATGGGTTGCAGAGGTGGGCAGTCACTTGCTAGACCTCTAAAATCTGCCCCACAACATCATTATTCCTGAGAGCCTTCCGTTTAGAAGATGAGGTGGCAGAGGGTTTTCTTTGCATGTGTGCTTTAAACATCTAAAACTTTGCTGCTACTGCAGTGTTATTATTTTATCCCCAAACAGCCCAATGGGTGTGATTCTACTGCATCATTTGGGGGAGGTGGGTATGGGGGAGATGGCTTCCTTGTTGGCTAACCTGTTGCTGGAAATGCCTCCATGCTTTTTTTGTGGGGAGAGAAATGGACCCCACAAAAGGAAGACGCGGGAATATTCAGTACTAGACTAATTCACACCTGGGTGAATGTGATTTAAGTTATAATAATTGTGTAGGACATTCAAAGCATGTTGAACACACATTACTCCCCCCACACAGCAAAGAATTGTGGGAAGTCTAGTCTGTTAAGGGTGCTGAGAACTGTTAACTCTGTGAACATAGTGTCCAATTGCCCTAGAAATGTTGGGGCTGTCATGAAAACCCTTAAGCCTTCATGAGTTCTTACTTTGTCATGCAGAGTCCCAAATTCCTAATGCAGCCCCCTTTTTTCCAAGGGGCCAATGGGAAGCGGTGGCAGGTTGGGTTCCTGGGGCTCTCGCCCAGCTAGGAAGAAGAGGGAGCAGGGCGGTGCAGACAACAGACAACAGCTGGATGGTGAGGCAGCCAATAGGAAGCACAGAGGCCCCACCAGCATGGGAGGTGGGAGGGAAGGTAACAAATCAAACACAGGGGCAGGAGGCTGCAGCATCCTTGGCCAAGCCAGAGTAGCAGGAAAAGGGCTTTCTTAGAAGCAAGACCTTTTAACTTCTATAGGGCTTACTCCCAGATAATGGCTGGAATCACATGAAGCAAGGCGTGCATCCCAAGTTGCTGATGATGTGATATGCAGTCCTAGGACTACTCAGAAGTACCTAAATTGCATTGTATTAAATGGTGCTTATCTACCCCACCCCCAAAGTTAATCTGGTTTGGGATTGCAGCCTTGACTAGGAGATAATAATGGCTTTGCTGAATCAGCTGTCCCTAGAGAATTCTGCTTGCTGCTTGTTTACAGCAAAACAAGGACAACAAAACCAAGAGAGTTAAAAAAAAGAACAAACCAACCGAGATTCTTGTGGCTCCTAAGATGATCACACACTTGTTATTTCAGCCCAAGTTGTGCTGATCTAGAGTCTTACTTTACCATATACCTGGTGTGAGTGAGAGTGTGTATACACATGCATGGCAATGGAAGGGGAGTTGCGTGCAGTGGGGTCAGAGGGAAGTGAAATGCCAGAAACGCAGATAGGGACCATTCAAATTAGAATGGTAGGCAGAATAAGCACAGGGGCCCTCTAGAACAGCAGTAGGCTATGACATAAACCGTATTGGTAATGGTGAGTGAATTTACATCTGCAAACCATTGCCTCCATTCAGACCCAAATCATAGAATTGTAGAGTTGGAAGGGACCCCAAGAGTCATCTTGTCCAACCCCTAGCAATGTAGGAATCTCAACTAAAGCATTCATGGCCATCCAACCTCTGCTTAAAAATGGTACGCAAGTGGCTCTCTCTATGTGTATGTAAGTGACCCAAAAGACCACCATGAAATACTTAGACTAGCCTTCCCTGTGCTTGGGTCCCCAGGTACTGCTGGACTACTTTCCCCATCACCCCTGGGGATTGGAGATTAATATATTATTAATAACAATGATAATGTTGCCCCCGGGGATTGGATAGTAATGCAATATTGATGATGAAAATGATAATAATAACTGCAGTCCAACAGCATGTCTGTCATGTTTGTTTTTTTAATATTGTGCTTCTCCCAAGTAGTCCAGGACAGTGTACATGCTTTCTTCCTCACTCCTTTTCTCCTGACAACCTCCCTGTGAAGGCAGTGACAGATCCAAGGTCAACCGGTGAGCTTCATAGCAGGGGATCTGGACCTCTTGCCACCCCAGTATGACACTCTAGCCTTGGGGTTGGGAAACTTCCTTTCCTTTTTTTTTTAATAAGATTTTTATTAAGGTTTTACATTACAAAATAGAAAAAGAAAAAAGACAAAAGACAAAATAAAAATAGTTAAAAACAATCAATCCTTTCATCACATTATTTTTCATTTACTTATTTCCCGGACCTCCTCGTACCTCCCTTTTTTGTATTGCAGTTCAATTTATTAGCTCAGCAGTTTCTTTCCCTCTTTATTCTACCCGGATCTTAAATCTTAAATTATTATAACATTAAATTTTTACTTATAAAAAACCATTTTTTCATATTCTTTTATATCATTAGCTAGAAACCACTTAATTTCAATCCAACATCATTCTAACATTCATTAATTTTACAATATTTCTGTAGATAGTCTTTAAATTTCTTCCAATCTTCTTCCACCGACTCTTCTCCCTGGTCTCGGATTCTGCCAGTCATTTCCGCCAATTCCATGTAGTCCATCACCTTCATCTGCCATTCTTCCAGAGTGGGTAAATCTTGTGTCTTCCGGGAAACTTCCTTTCCTTTTTGTAGCCCTGAGGCAACATGCCCTGGTGAGGAACCTTCCAGAAGCCATGTGCCAGTGACGGGCAGGGCCAGAGGCAGAAGCAAGCATAGCAATGGGGGTTATGTTCCACCCATACAAAACCAAGAGGATTCTACACACACACACACACACACACAGAGACACAGAGAGAGAGAGAGAGAGAGAGAGAGAGAGAGAGAGATCAACAGCTCAGGCTGTAGTGGCCCCAGGGGCTTCAGCAACCCCCCTCAAGGCCGGTGAGCCAAGACTCACTACACATGAATTGCACTGAATGTCTTCAATACTTGTAATGTGCTGGGGTGAAGCCCTGGAGACAACAGCACTGAGCTGTATGGACCAGTGGTCTGACATGGTGTAAATCAGACTATGCGTCTAACTGTATAACATAATTATGAACAAGGAAGAACTGGAGCAGAATGGTACAGCATTTGCCTTGCATTCATTCAAGCTCCACGGAGAGCTGGGAACGAACATGAGTGAGCTCTATGCACTGTTGGTCTGATTTAGTGTAAGGCAGCTTCCTATGTACATGAGGACATAAGAACATTACTAAATATGGCCAATGGCCCATCTAGTCCAGCCTCCTGTTTTCACAGTGGCTGACCAGATGCTCCAATGGGAAACCCGGCAAGCAAGATGCAAGCACAAGAGCAGCTCTCCTCTCCTGCGGCTTCCAGCAACAGGTAATTCAGAAGCATTTCTCCCTCTGACTGTGGAAGAAGAGCAGAACCATTGTGGCTGGTAGTTGCTTATCTCATATCTTTCAGATTAAATGCCCTCCAGTGCATCCAAATAAAATAAATAAGGCACCAGACACTTTGGGCAATTCCACTTTTCTGTCTTCTGCTTCTGAGGTTGTGAAACTAGATCTAACCACTACAACTCTTATTTTGGATTCCTCCTCATCATCTTGTTATTGACTTTTTCTCTCCTCCTACCTGGTATCTGTTGCCTTGCCTGTAATTATAGTATGAGAGCATCCTGGGGGAATGGATCTGGTGCCTGAGGCTTTGCTGCCAGAGACCCTTGCGAGAGTCAGTCTAGAGATAGGGGAGAGAAGGAAAATGAACTAATTCCCTCTCACTATCATACAGTATATATTAAGGCTTAAGCCCATAACAGAATCTTTGGTGGAAGATTCAGAACACATAAAGTACTTAACATAGCACATAGTTAAACTATGGAACTCATTTCCACAGGAGGTAGTGATGGCTTTAAAAGAAGATTGTGGAGGCAGTGCATAGCTATTATAGCTAGTTGCCTTCAATAGCCCTTTCTTCCATGAATTTGTCCAATCCACTTTTAAAGCCACCTTGGCTGGTGGCCACTATTGCCTCCAGTGGGAGTTCCAGGCCCATGTGTGAAAGTGTGGAATTATACACCGTGGCAATCCTGTAAATAAAACCCAGATCTCTGCATCAAATTGTTACCTGTTTACTAGAAGTATGTAGGATCTTCGTGGGATGAACAAAGCCTGCAGGGTTATTTATTTACCCTCCAGCTGCCTAATCCTTCCCAGTTCATTTGCTTTCTGACACAGAGCTGCCCAAATTGATACAAGCCATCTTGTTAGCTGCCACTACTTCTGTATTTATAAATAGGCAGCTGGAAAGCACTCTTGTAAAAAGAGCTTTTTTTAAAAAAAACAAAAAACTCTGGTAGCATCAGCCAGTGTTGTAGTATGAGTGGGTGAAGAGTGAATTACCTACAAGGCACAAGGTTGTAATTACAAGGTAAAGCTGAATGGAAATCAGCGTTTGCATAGCATTATAAGGGAATAAAAAGGAGGAAAACTACAAAACATTAAACCCATATATGTATATAAATAGCATACATATACCAGGGTCTGCCATCCCTGCCTCCAACACACATCAACCTTCATTCCTCCATACCTAGGCAAGCCCTCCTCCTTGCATAACCCCTCACTCACTGATCCTTTTGCTGCTCACCCCACCCTTCCCTTCAGAGAGGGCTTTTCTGCAGCAAAGTTTAACATCACAGAGCAGTTTGACATACCGCTCTGTGAAGCACCCTCACATTAAACAGCTTGCCTGGGTCGCCCCCTGCCCCACGCTGATTGTTTACCTCTGCCATCAAGCTGCAGTGGCCAGCTTCACGTTTGCAATAAGTCAGAAGGTTTGTGCCCCTCAGCAGCAGCAATGTATTGCATCCATGTTTTAATCAACTGCTACTAAAAGTTTATGTACATTTAAA